GAATTTCTTAGATATTTTATAAGCATGTTTTCACTAATATGCTCTTGTCTGCCTATTGAATTTTAACTCAAGCTCAAATAATTATTACTAGAATCATTTAACGGAGGAAGACTCTTAACACTTCCGTGCAGTTTAAATGTTAAGTAATTAAGCGTTTTATATGTAATTTTCTGTAGCTCTACTACATATTATTGATTTTGATGAATGTTAAACAGTTTAGTTAGAAAACTGTTTTTTTATCAACATGTTGCTTTGTCAAATGAGCATTTTAAATTTAAATTTAATTTATTATATTGTAACCTATTGTAAGGTTCGTTCACTTTTCTTCTTTCTCTCTAATTCTTTATCAAAATAATATACTTTTCGTCCTCTTGTCTCTCCCTCTGTATGTCCTATAGGCCGCTAGTCTCGATAATACTACATTTATTACTAGCTGGAGTATCCGTCCCCGGGACAGAAGTTATGTAAATTCATGTTTAAGGAAAGGTTATCTTAGGACATGAAAAGTTGCTTCCCTTATCTGTAATTGTAAAAAACGTAAAAACGGCCATAAAAACTGCAAAACATAGAATGCGAGACCGCAAATTTGCATGTATCTATGCATGGACCAACAAACCTTCATAACAAATTTGGTGGAGATACATCAACAGAGGGTCGAAATAGTAGTAAAAAACGCAAAAAGGCCCATAAAAGTTGCAAAACGCAAAATACAAAACTGGAAGTTTTTATGTACCCCTGTATGGACCTAATGAACCTTTTGGTAAACATCCGTCCATACCCTGTAAAGTAGTTACATGGACATACAACAGACAGTACTGTTATATTTACACAGATATGTAGTTACATGGACATACAACAGACAGTACTGTTATATTTACATAGATATGTAGTTACATGGACATACAACAGACAGTACTGTTATATTTACCCATGTAACTACATATCTATACATACAACACACAGTACTGTTATATTTATATAGATGTGTAGTTACATGGACATACAACAGACAGTACTATTATATTTATATAGATATGTAGTTACATGGACATACAACACACACAGTACTGTTATATTTACATACAACACACAGTAACATTATATTTATATAGCTATGTAGTTACATGAACATACAACACACAGTACTATTATATCTATATAGATGTGTAGTTACATGGACATACAACAGACATTACTATTATATTTACATAGATATGTAGTTACATGAACATACAACACACAGTACCATTATATTTATATAGATATGTAGTTACATGAACATACAACAGACAGTACTGTTATATTTACATCGATATGTAGTTACATGGACATACAACACACAGTACTGTTATATTTACATAGATGTGTAGTTACATGGACATACAACAGACATTACTATTATATTTACATAGATACATAGTTACATGGACATACAACACACAGTACTGGTATATTTATCTAGATACATAGTTACATGAACATACAACACACAGTACTATTATATCTATATAGATGTGTAGTTACATGGACATAGAACAGACAGTACTATTATATTTATATAGAAGTAGTTACATGGACATACAACAGACAGTACTGTTATATTTATATAGATATGTAGTTACATGAACATACAACACACAGTACCATTATATTTATATAGATGTGTAGTTACATGGACATACAACAGACAGTACTGTTATATTTACATACAACACACACAGTACTGTTATATTTACATACAACACACAGTACCATTATATTTATATAGCTATGTAGTTACATGAACATACAACAGACAGTACTGTTATATTTACATAGATATGTAGTTACATGAACATACAACACACAGTACCATTATATTTATATAGATGTGTAGTTACATGGACATACAACAGACAGTACTATTATATTTATATAGATGCTTAGATCAACCATATAATTTTTCAAGAACAATGTATAGGAAAATGATTAGTAAACTACACCAATAATTAAATACAAATCTTGTTGTATTCAAAGCTTAAAATGTAATCAGACTAACAGATATTTTGATAATTCGTAAAATGTTTGTCACTGATTCGATCTCATGTTATAATTAAATTTAGATCAAAATGTAATCTAATTGATAACGGCGCTTCACGATCATTGATTAAAGGGTTTGGTTTGTATGGAATTTCGCGCAAATCTACACGAGTGCTATCTGCGACAGTCGTTCCTAATTTAACAGTGAAAGAATAGAGGGAAGGCAGCTAGTCCTCGTCACCCACCGCCAATTTTTGGGCTACTCTTTTATCAGCGATTAATGGGATTAACCGTCACATGGTAACGCCCCAAGTTTGAATGGGCGAGCAGATTGCAGGTCGAGCGCCCTAGCAACCTAGTCATGCCAGGCCTGACTAAAGGGAAAATAAACTCGCTACAAATTGTTAAGTTGAAATGTTAGTCATTCTAGATGCTAGTGTGTAAATTGTTTTGAATCTAACCAAAAACACCTTAGGTGTGAAAAACAAAGGTGCGGCCAAAAAATGATTGACTTAAAGGAATGACATCAAAATTGGTGTTCAAACTGATAGCTAGTACACGTATTTTTGTTTTACCCACCATCATGACCCAAGTTGTGACACTAATTGACACTTTATTGGTAACGTATTTCTGAATACGTGACACTAAGTGACGCTTTATTGGTAATGTATTTCTGAATACGTGACACTAAGTGACGCTTTATTGGTAACGTATTCCTGAATACGTGACTCTAAGTGACGCTTTATTGGTAACGTATTCCTGAATACGTGACACTGAGTGACGCTTTATTGGTAATGTATTTCTGAATACATGACACTAAGTGACGCTTTATTGGTAATGTATTTCTGAATACGTGACACTAAGTGACGCTTTATTGGTAACGTATTCCTGAATACGTGACACTAAGCCATACTTTATTGGTTTCAATCAAGAATGACATTAATGTTTAATTGTCGGAAAATGCTCTACAAAGACGATTGGATGGCTATCTTCTAATGAAAGTAATCTCCAATCTAAGGTTTTGAACTCTCACTGTCTCCACAATATCTTGGTTGAATATGTAAACACTCATTGAATTGAAACGGGTGGACTGCACTTCATCAATCTTTGCCGTTCCAGTGTTGAAGTAAAACGAAAAACCTAAGCCAGAATATAATCCTGTAACATTATACAGAGCCTGGATATAATTCTCTTACATTACACAGCCAGTTTATTCTGTTACACGCATGTCTTTTACAGACGTCTTTAGTTGCTTCAGAAATATTAATTAGTTGTTTCGAACAGTTCGAATATGTAAACTGTTAAATGTTCTTCTTGTTCCTTTGATAACATGAAGTAGTATTTGTACCGATGTTGGGAATATTGTACTGTAATTACCACACAATCCATTGATAACATGAAGTAGTATTTGTACCGATGTTGGGAATATTGTACTGTAATTACCACACAATCCATTGATAACATGAAGTAGTATTTGTACAGATTCTGGGAATATTGTACCGTAATTACCACACAATCCATTGATAACATGAAGTAGTATTTGTACCGATACTGGGAATATTGTACCGTAATTACCACACATTCCTTTGATAACATGAAGTAGTATTTGTACCGATGTTGGGAATATTGTACTGTAATTACCACACATTCC